TCTATATATATGAAATGTATTTGTCCTATTTCGTGAGAGATGGCCTCTTTGAATGCTTCACTTTGCAATCTCTGGTCGCACTTATTTTTCTTTTATAAGTAGGCTCTTGAGACCACCAGTAGATCATATATATATGATTTGTATTCATCCTATTTCGTTTAGGGTGATATGGAGACTGGTAGTTGAGTTTTCCCACAATACTATAGGTAAACCTTACGCTTCCATTGGATTTTGACGCAACCTTGCTTTCCCAAAAACTATTTTAATCCAGGACCGACTGCAGTTTCGACCTCGCCTAGATCTTTTCAACACCTCCAGCAGGACTCGAATCATGACACTGAAGCGTATAATCTCGACACGTAGACCACCTCGCCAAAATGCCACGAGTTCTCTTGGGCCACAGGGAAAATGTGAATTTCATCGAAGGTCAACATTTTTCCATATCACATTCTGTAGTGGGATTGTAATCTAGATTATCTACTGGTGATCTCGAAGGCCTATTTATAAACGAAAATATGCTATAGTAAATACAACTTTGCTTCATCCACAATCACACCACAAAATGTGATATTGGTGTAAATGCTTATTCTTTTGTGAAATTCACATCTGCCCTGTGACCCAAAGGCACTAGTGGTGTAGTGGTTAATGTGTCAAGTTCATACTTTGTAGTGTCATAGTTCGAGTCCCGCTGGGGGTGATGATAAGACCTAGGTGTGGTAGAAACTGCAGTCGATGCCAAATGAGAATAACTTTTGAGAGAACAAGACTATGTGAAATCCAATCGAAACATAAGGCTTGCTTGGATAATTGTGGGAAAATTCAACTATCAATCCCCTTATCACCCAAAAGGAAATAGGATGAATACATTTTATATAATGGTTACTCTGTTCCAGAGTACCTTCTAACAAGACGAGTGGAGGTAATGAGTTCGAATACGGGTTCTTGAAGGTTCCTGGCTAGCCAACAGGTCCGAGTGGGGTCAGGCTGCAAAACGACCTCAGTCGGATGTTAAAGCCTTCCGCACTCGTGTTGCCTAGGGCGTGGGGATCGGTTGTCAACTGATTTTCAGGCGGACTAGCGACGATCGCCAAAATTCCTGTGGCTCGAGGAATTTGAGAGGCCTCTTTTCTTTTTTTGACAACCGTCTAATTTTGCCCATTGCTTTCTGGTACTTTGTATTGTCGTCAAATGTGCTTTTTTTCCACTCCCCGAACTGGCTTTGCGTAAAGGTGGCCTCGTTCAGGGGCGAGACTTTTCGATCAGATAACCAACTCTCTCTCTCTTTAATCGTGCTATTTCCTTATAATTAGTCAGCTTATTATGTTTTCACCGGAATCGAAAACTACTCCCTCGGACACAGCATGAACAATGATGTTCCAATAAAGCCAATCAGCAACTGGCCAAAAGGAATCCGCTGTCGTCTTCTGGTCGGATAGACCTTTGAATCTCTTCGTCGAACGCTTTCACTCGAAATGGAAGTGAGCTCAACACTTATAGACCAAGAGATCCCTTGAAACCCTACTTTTCTTCGCTCTTTCCCTATACCAACTTCAGTTTTGCCCGCCGTGCAGGCTTAATCTGCTCCACTTCACTTCACTCCTCCTCAGGTCCGTGTGCTGCGCTGCATCCGCCCACTCACCCGTGACCGTCTGGTGACCGGCCAATACGTGGGTGATCCAATGGCATCAGGCTCGTCGAACAGCTTTGGATACCTGGATGACTCCTCAGTGCCGAAAGGTATGCCACACAGGCTTTGATGGTACCACAGTTCATCTGCCATGTCCTTTCTATTTTTGCTCACCCCTTTGACATGTGTCTTGGCTTGACAACCAAGCCTAGTTTACATTCTGTATGCATGTATGGCTCTTTCGAGATCCTCTCGATATTTTCATATTGCACCTTTCCATTCTGTCAAAAGAGGCAACATTTGCAATTGTCAGGCGGCCAACCGTTGGCCCCTCCTCTGACCACGTTATGACTTGTCGTCGTGGCAAACACTTTTCTTGGTTCGGCAGCTGCAGACCGGTCAAGATAACTCTCAACCTGATCAGTCTTGCCGTGCCACAAATCTGTACCGCATTCGTGACGTGGTCGGCATTTACTCAGTACCAATTATCACCGTGAACATCTGGCTATGCTCTGGAATGCTGACGCGTTGACGATAACCATTTGTAGGGAAACATGTACACCTCTCTTATGCTTGGCTGGTAAAGTGAACCAGTTTCCATTTCCAATAGTTTACTTTGGATTAGGAAGTTTTGCAAGAATGAACTCACTTACTGGAGTAAAGTGTTGACATGAAAAGTGACG